AATGAGGGGAGAGAAGGGAATCAGAGTTGGGACAGCAAGACGAACTTCCTTTACAGAAAAATGACAGCTAATAAATTCTGAAGAAAATAATGAAGCTCGGAAAAAATGGCTGGGCTGGAGAGACGGCTCACTTGGTAAAATGCTTGTCGTGCTGACTTTGACCCTCAGGAACTCATGTGAAAAGGCTGGTGTGAGGGCACATGCATGCATCCCAGCACTGGAAAGGTAAACAGCGTGATCTTCGGGCGTCTAGACAGCCAGTCCAGCTGAATCAGTGAGCTCTAGGTTCAGTGAGAGGTCCTGTCTCAAAAAGTAAGGTGAAGGGCTGGAGAGGTGGCTCAACAATGAAAGAGTATGTGCTACTTTCCCAGGGGACCTGGGTTTAGTTCCTAGCACTGCCATGATGGCTTATAACTGACTCTAACTTCAGTTTTAGAGGATCCTGTACTCTCTCTGGCCTCCTCGGACACCAGGCATGCATACAATATACTTACATGCATTCAAACAAAATACTCATACCCATACATTTTTTTTTTAATTTTAAAAAAAAAAAAGGAGCTGGGGGAGAACTATTAAGGAAGATACCCCACATCAACCTCTGACTTACATACATACATATACAATGCACCCCTTCACACACACACACACACACACATACACACACACACACACACACACACACATACATACACAGTGTTGTGGAACCCACAAGTTATTAACTAAATCAAGTAGGGATCATCAGTCATTGAAGACACCATTGAGGGACAATTGATAGGCATTAATGTTTGAATTATGACAACTGAAACAATAAAAATATTAGAGTCTTTTCTAGTACTTATTATCCCACAGTATGCAGAGCTATTGCAGATATAATTTGTTCAGAGGTCCTACTAGAGGATGGGTTCCTAACCCAGTGTGATTGGTATCCGTATAGTAAGATGGCCACATGAGGATACAGACACACAAGGAGAACACCATGTGAAGACAGACAGTGAATTCAAGTGCTGCAGTTGTGAGCTTTGGAATGCCCCCAGCTGAAAAGCCAAGAGATTCTCCCTACGGGATAGATAGGGAGCATGGCTCTGCCAGCACATTATATTCCTGCTTCCAACCTCTGGGAAATAGATTTTTATAGTCATAAACTACCCAGTTTGTGAGTACTGTGCTACCATAGCCCTAGGAAAGCAATATAATGAAGAGCAGATTGCCTTAGTGCACCTAAGTATCACCCCACATGCATCAAAGGGAGAGCTTTCAAAGGGGAGATTTGTCTGTTTCCACTAAACTTCATGTCACTAAGAGTAGGCCGACTTGACGCTGCATCCATCCTGATAAGGCGTAATAAGAAGGACACAATATCACTTTTATTTGTTAGGCCAACTACAGTAGGAGGTGGAGTTTATTTCTCTACCACTGGAATCTAACCTGGCTTTGTTATTTGCTTTTTCTTTTTCTTTTTAAAACAAAGCACCTGTTTTTTTAAATTAATTACATTTATTTATTTTTGTGTGTATGTGCTCATGCCACAGTATGTGTGTGGAGGTCATAGGACAACCTGTGGGGATTGTTTCTCTCCTTCCACCATATGAGTCCTAAGTATTGAACTCAGTTCATCAAGCTGGGTGAAAGGTGCCTATACCCACTGAGTCGTCTCACTGGTCCCTTGTTACTTACTTTTGCCAACATAATACTGTTGAAGTGGCAGAACCAGGTCTAAGCCAAGGTCTCAGTAGACCTTCCACGTTCCTTTGGCAATGTCTTCCAGATGTAATAGACTCAGGAAACTGGTCCTAATGGATGCTACCCTCGATGTTGAACTGACTGTGAAATGTCCCCCACAGGCTCATGTGTTTTCACACTTGGTTGCCAGTAAGTAGGTGGCATTACTTTGGAAGGTTATGAAACTTTCAGGAGGTAGAGTCAGCCTAGAGGAAGTGGCCAACTGGGGGTGATGGGGCTTGAAGTTTTATATCTCTACCACATCTTCTGTCAGTTCCCTGCTTTTTTATTCTGCCAAGATGTGAGGAAGTGAGTAGTCCCAGCTTCACATACCAGCTATCACGGAACTGCCTGCTGCCCTGTATTCTTCTCCCATGGTAAACTGGATTCTTTAAACTATGAGCCCTTTCTCACTCAAGTGGCTTCCTGTCAGGTCAAAATAAGAAAAGCAACACTTGAAATGGCAGAGTGAATCAACAATCAGTAGAGCACAGCCCACATCACAGAATGGTCTAGACAATGGTTCTTATTCTCATGCCATTGAATTTTAGAAGGCCATTTGTTATGCAGCAGTGGATAACTGTTACAGACACCTATATCATATTTTTGCTGTTAGAATAAATAGAAAATGGAAACTAGTCATGAGCAAACAATCGAGAAATTACAGTGTGGGATAGTCTATGACAGTTGGCCTAGATGCTATACCAGTGTCAGTGTGCTGCAAAACAAAATGGGAAGACTGGTTAGACAGGCTACATCTGGGCTTTCCAATCCTTGTCATCACTTGGCTTTTTAGACCAGATATGAGGGCCAGGGAACTATGGGACATTCGTCAGGTATTTTTGGCTGTAGACACTACAAGCCTACTATTGATCGGATTTGGTTTATCAGTGAAAACTTCCTGTGCTAGAAGCTTAGTGTTCTGTGTGGCGAAGTTGGAAGATGGAGAACGTTTTAGAGGTCCTGCCTTCTGGTAGGTGGTTAAGTCACTAACAGCCCTGCCCTTGAGATTAACACAGTTCTTTAGGAACTCAGTCAGTTCTCACAAGTATAGATTGTTACAAGAGCCAAATGATTCAGCCTTTCTGTATACTGGATTCCTTTCTGTTTCTCTGCCATGTTGGGATGCAATGGGGGTGGGGGCTTTGTCAAAGGCCAAACAGATATGATCACCTGATCATGGACTTTCGGCCTCCAAAACTACAAATCGAACTTCATTGTAAAGTGTCCAATCTCCTGTATCTTGTTATTGTGACAGAAAAAGAATTAATGCAATGCCAGAAGCACCCCATAATCAAAAATATCTGTAGGTATTGCTAAATGTCCATCTTGTGACAGTGGACTAGAGAAAAAGAATCAAATGCAATAATAAGACGAGAGACCAGGGGCTAGGGGATCTAACACATTTGGCAGAGTGCGTGTCTAACATGCACAAAATCCTGGCTACCCTTCCAGGAGGATATAAACTGAGAGGTGGGGGGTGCGGGAGGGGGAGGTGGGGAGGGAAGGATACACACCTGCAAAGCACTCAGGAGGTGGAAGGAGGAGGATCAGGAGTTCCAGGTCATCCTTCACAGAGGATTCACTGTCAGCCTATGTAAGACCTTGTTAAAAGCAAGCAAATGAGCAAGGGAGAGAGGGAGGGAGAGAGGGAGGGAGGGAGGGAGGGAGGGAGGGAGAGAGAGAGAGAGAGAGAGAGAGAGAGAGAGAAGAGAGAGAAGAGAGAGATTGAAGATTGATATTTGGAACAAAGGGGAGGATTCTTATATAAGGCATTTAGACAATTGTAGAAATTTTAATATGAACATAAGCCTGAAATGGTATTATAGTTATATTGGATGCCCTTATTCTTTGAAGCCATATGCTAGATTACTCTAAGTGAGATGTCAATTAAGAAATTCTAATATTCAACTTACTTCCAAATGCTTCAGTGGATAAACATGTTATTCACAGGAAAGGTGAAAAGAATATAAAGAATAACTAAACAGAGTTGAAAAAGATAGGTAATTAATTGTATTTCTTAAAACTTTGTAGGTTTTTAAATCTTCAAAATAAAAGGCTGGGGTTGAGGAGTCACCTCTACTTCATGGGTCCTTACTAACCTAATACATTAGGAGCAGGCTGCCTTAAATGAATCTGAGGTTCCCTTTGGAGTTGCTAGCTCAAACCATGTGTGTGAGGCTGCACTGAGGCCTGGGGATGGGTGTGTGGACCTGGAGAACTGTGTAGACTTAGCTTCCCATGAAGTCACTGGCTTCCTTTCCTTTATAAAACATCCCACCAAGAGTCTAGTTCTGTGTGAGAGTGTCATGGAGCCCCTATAGCTGCATCAACTACTTCCGTGTTCCCAAATCAATAGAAAGAGCCCCAGAGAGCCGGTCCATTTGCAAACCCTCCATTTCCCAAGGAAAGAGGGTGCCCCTCGCAGTGTGTGTTAAAAACATCATCTCATCTCATCTGTTCAGGTCAGACCTTGGTCTCTTCCTGCTTGTTGCCTCTCCCCTGCCTCTGAAATGACACAGGGCAGTGTATGTGGGTTTTTCAGGCAACCCTGGTAAACAGGTACCAAAATTCCAGGCTGCCTGGGACCAACAGAATCTGATTATCCCTTTCCCTGAGGAGGTGACCCTCATTTCAGTGCATATAAAAAGAGATGGGGTCCTTTAAATGAGACTTAAGCCATTCTCTGTTCAGATAATTGCCCAAAAACAAATTTCTTGTGCGCGTGCATGTGCACACGTGTGTGTGTGTGTGTGTGTGTGTGTGTGTGTGTGTGTGTGTGTGTGTGTGTGATTTCATGTGTGGGGAAGGAGGGAGGGAGGGAGAGAGAGAGAGAGAGAGAGAGAGAGAGAGAGAGAGAGAGAGAGAGCGCATGTGTGAGCAGGGAGACCACAGTTTGATGTCTTTGTTGATAGCTTCCATTTATCTTTCTGAGGCAGGGTCTCTCCCTGAACTTGGTGATCATTGGTTGGCTAGATCAGCTGGCTATAAACTACAGATATCTGCCTGTCTTCATCCCTCATGCTCATAGGTTACAGATGCGGGTGACCACTCCCAGTTTTTTTATGTGGCTGCTGGGGATCCAAACTGAAGTTCTCCTGCTTTTGCACATTGTCCCACTGGGTCATCTCCTCAGCCCCATATTTATTGAACAGGATCCTGTTATGTAGCCCAGGTTGGCCCTGAAATCACAGCAGCCTCTTGCCTTCACCACCTACATGCTGGAATTACTGACATATGTCGTCATACCCAGAATAATTTCCTCATTTGTATCACCACAGGACACAATAGAATTCAAATCCAACCATACGGCAGAAAGACCCCACTACAAGGCAACCAACGTTTAAAACACAAGCAAACCCAGAGGCTGAAAATAGAAATGCTGATAAGTGAATGTGTTTAAGACATTTGTGCGAATGAAGAAGATGGCAACAAGCAGACAAACACTGCAAACAGCGCCAAAGACAAATGGAACGGAGGGGAATTGTTCTCTCCCCGACAGCAAACATGCTGATGCATTGTGCAAGGAGGTGGGCAAGGAATGTGAACAAATACTTCACATACTAAAAAAAAGAAAGAATGGTATTGAGTATGGTGGTGCACACCTTTGATCCCAGCACTTGGGGGAGGTAGAGGCAGGTGGGTCTCTGACTTCGAGGCTAGCCAGGGCTGCACCTTGCGAACCCATTCCACAAAACAATGACAAACCAAATAAACAAAAAAGTAGGAATGGTCAAAATTACTTGGAAAAAAAACAAGTACTCATCTTCATAAGTGCTTAGAAAAATGAAAGCATAACACATGCCCATGTTTCTATGAGTGACAGATACTTGAAGTTCAATAAGATATGGTTTTTTAGCAAAGTTATAGTAAACGTACACTGTTGATGGCCGTTGAATCTGAGAGTGTGGACAGGTTACAATTTAGAAGCATCCCATTGTGTGTGTGGCACTGGGTTTGAACCTAGGGCCTTGCACGTGCTGGGTGAATAAGTGCTGTTGCTGAGAGTCAGCTCTGCTGTTCTCATCTTGAATGCACACATATTATGTTCCAGTCATAATTTATTCTTTCAGGTAATTTATTCTGTGGATAAAGTCACTACAGAGGTTCCTAAAGTCACGAATGTAAGGTTATTCATGGAAGCATTGTTTATTATAATAATAACAGGGGAAAGTGGAAAGAATTTAAATGTCGGTTAATTAGGCCAATGGTTGGCTTTATGGCTTGTCTAGTGGCGAAAAGATGTCCATGTGTTAACGTGGAAAGTTGCTGATATACTGTTAGATACAACATAAAGGGTACTGTATATAATTTACTCTGCATAGAGGTGTTGTATTCAGGCTGGAGAGATGGCTCAGGGGTTAAGGGCACTGACTGCTCTTAGAGAAGTCCTGAGTTCAATTCCCAGCAACCACATGGTGGCTCACAGCCATCTGTAATGGGATCTGATGTACTCTTCTGGTGTGTCTGAAGACAGCAACAGTGTATTCATATACGTAAAAATAAATAAATCTTTTCTTTAAAAAAAGAAGCATTGTATGCATTTGATAGCCTTATATAGAAAACATAGGCCAAGAAATAGTTCTGTGTTTAACTTGTGATAAAGTCAAGAAGGATGCTTTTTTTTTTTTTTTGCTTTCTATACAAAACCATTTTCCATTTATTTTAATCATTGTCATGTCTTACATTTACAATTAAAAATGTGCAGGATACACCTCAAAACAACTTTCAGGATGTCAGTCAATGCCCTTCTGATGCTTTTGTAGGAAATGTCTGAACTACTGGAGCGAGATGAAGTTGCATGCTGGTTAAATTGCTTTTAGCTGGGAGTGCAGATATGGAAATGTACTGAGCCACTGTAATGAGGAACATGATTCTTAGCACCTAAGAAGGCTGCAGCAGAGCAGCTGGCAACTTCCTGAAGCAGCTTGCGGTCGTTCACCCTTCTCGCCTGGCTCAGGCCCAGCCTTCAGCAAGATGAAGATTTGGGTTTTGGAAAGCCTGAGGGGCCATCAAGACAAAAGCAATTTGAGAAGAAATTTTCTTTCTCCTCTTTCTTTCCCTGTCTCTGGAATTTCTTCAAGAACATGAAATTAGAGATATAACCATAATTCAAAGGTACTGAGATATGAGAACATTTTGAGAAGGTGCTTGGGTGGTTCTCTGTCTTTGTAACCACACTGTGCCTGTGCTTGGCTGGGGCACTCTTTACAGCATGCGGAGTCTCTTTGGGTCCAAAGCCCCTCTTCCTCCAAAATGGCTATGCTGGTGACACTGTTCTAAATAAAAGGACTTTGGCTGGGTAAACAGAAGGATTGTAAGCAAGCCTAAAGGTTTCTGTTCACTAGAAAAGCAGATCTCTTAAGGTTTCTGTTTACCAGGAACCTCAGCCCTTAACCCTCCCCCAAAGGTCAGCTACCTCAGGCAAGGGCATCTAGTTCCTGGTCAGTCCTGATGGACTGTATCAGCTCAGATCCCACCCCATGACTGTCATATAATATCTGCTTGGTTTCCCACCAAGTCTGAGTCCCAGTGAATCTTTCTCTCTGCCTATAGAACAGTCTAGTTCAGTAGTTTCCCCGCACCATGTCTTAGGTATTACTCTGAGAGGACAGCCTCTCTCAGGGGACGGTTTTCTGTTCTCAGTGAAGTGGCACATTTGGTTCCTGGTACCGAATCAGTTCATTTCTATTAGTCATTTCACAGCTGTTTGTTGGGAGGAGCAACATTGAAATATTCGGGTTGATTTCACAAGTAAGCTGAAAACAAGGCCTTCCCAGTTCCTGTTTGTGATTTTCAAGTCAATAAAGCATGTCTGTCTTGGTGGCTGTTTCTCTCTAACTGGTTTCAGTTGTCTGCTGCGCTGTCTACCTGGCTTCCACTTGGCTCAGAAACCTAGGTTTGTGGCCATCCTGTTACAGGTGGGTTGATGCCAGGCTGCCCACCGTTGTTTGTTATTAAATTGGTGATGCAATTTTTGTTTGGCAGTTTATGACTGTAAGGTTATTCAAGGATGCAGTTTAAAAATACAAGTTTACTACCAAGTGAGACATCAGAGCGGATGATAGGTTGTTTTTTTTTTTTTTAAGCTGTTCAGGGACAGTAGACAAATGCACAAATTTGTTATTGTAGATTGTTATGAGTCCCGGAGACGCACATACGGGGATCATTATTGTAGATTGGCTTGTGACAGCTGGCCCTGATTTACTTATTTCCTCAAGAAGACACTTTGAACAATTATTGAAATGCCTCCCCTCTGTAATTATAATAATAATTATGATGATTTTGCAACTGAATATGCAATTCAGGGCGTACACACTCAACTGTTTTTAGCTTGTTTCTCTTTTTACATTGATGTCAGCTGCTGTCTTGGATTATGAAGAACTGAGAAGGACTTTCCAACCGAGGGTCAGTGAGCTCCATGAACAGAGTCATCTGTGGCCAACCCAGGAAATTACTAAAATAATAATTATAATAGTTAGTATTTAAGGAGTAAGCTAACTATGGGCAAGGTTTTTCTTTCTCTTTTTTTAGGGTCTTTGGAGGAAGAAACCTATTTTTAGTATTTGTCTGCTCTTGAGATTAAAAGTAAGGTATCTTGTTGAATAATAAAATTACAAATCTCTGACAATGCCTCTGCCCCCCCCCCTTCTAATTAAGGAGCTTCAAGGGGAAAGGCTGATGAACTAGAACAAAGAGGTGTGTGCTGTGGGCCAGCGGAGAGAACGGAGAAGGGGAGTGGGAACTGCTGCAGGAGGACAGATGGCAGTGAGAACAGACTGGGAAGTCAAGATAGAATGGCAATGATGGCAGAAGGTAAGAGGGAGCCAGACAGGAAGAGAGGAGTCAGGGCAGAGGAAATGCAGAAAGTACAGGGAGACTGAGGCAAGAAGATAGCTAGCTACAACCTAGCCTGGCCTATTGCTCTCTGTGTTCGT